CCATCTTAGACATAATCCTTCCTTCAGACAGCAGCCTCTTGGAGCTCTAGAAGTCTGACAGAAGGATGTAACAGATCCCAGCTCTCAGGTGCTCTAGCTGTGCTATAAAACAGAGTAAACCTCCTAAAAGAAAAATAATTCTTTATTGCATGGGCTGCTACAGATGTCTTCACACAGGGTCTTCAACCAAGTATTGGCAAATATCCCAAAGCCATTCCAGAGCTTGAAGAAAAACTTCAACTTTACTGAACTTGTCTCCTTGCAGTACAAAGAAATCGAGGCTCTGTACAGAGCATGTCTGAAATTACCTCTCTGGTAACTGCCAACAGTTCTTACTTCCTCTTATACCTGAAAGAGAAGAGGATTGAAATGACATTCCACTCCAGCCCAACTCTCAGTGACAGATGAGGAGCAGCACTGAGTATTTCCTGGGTAAAGTATTTTCCCAAGCAGAAGCCCAGGAATGTGCTATTAAAGGCAGTGCCCTTGATTGCCCCCAGACCTGCAATAGGAGGGTTAGGTACTGTAGAACCAACAAACCTTTTAGCAAGGGCCTTTAAACAATCACAAGAAGAGATAAAAAGAAAGCAGGGGGAAAAAAAAAAACCAACAAACTTGAGTAAGAAGGTAAAGGGAGCCATACCTGGACTTGGATTTGAAGTTCCCTCCTTTCCTACGCTGGGCAATGCCCAGGCGTTTTCGATCTTCAAACGATGGGCTTTTGAGAGAGAGGGGAAGGAGGAGAGGTAAAACAGTAAGAATTGTATCAAGCACAGTACTTCTGAAAAGAACCCTGCCCACCTTCTCCCCCAGTATGAGTCAAAGTATCCCTGAGAAAGTCCAGAGATGCAAAAATCTCACCTACTAAAGCCTGGGCTAAGGTAGTACTGCTAAGAGCTTACCCAGCACGGTACTGCTTCAGAGCCTTCCTGCTCGTGTTGGTCAGCTCTTCATCAAACACAGACACTTTTTTCTTCTTCTTGGGACCTAAGAGAGACAATATTCAGAAAAATGGTTGTAAATGGAAGGCCACAGCATCATCCCAGTCCTCTTGACCACAACAATTAGCCCTCAAAGAGCAGTGCCTCCCTCTATACATACTAGTTTAATTTACCTATTTCTAGCAAAGGAAGTGACATAGGTAAGTCAGCTGTAAAACACAAGTCTCTACCTGCTGGTACTGCTGCTGGTTCCTCTTCTGGCAAGGCCCTGGCTCTCTTTGCTCGGCGATTCCTCTTGGCCAGACGCTCTGCATACATTTGAGATTTCAAGATCTCAAACTGTGACCTTTCCTCTGGCTGAAAGATGTTAAAATGCAAGTTTCCAGTGATGTGAGGTTTTGCTAAGGGAAAACTCTGAGAGTGCACCCAGGGTCCCACTTGTCCAAAAATGCACTCACAGTCATTTGGGCTTTTTTCTGTGTGTCCTGCATAAATTTCTTCCTTTTCTTTTTCCCTCGTAATGCTAGGTCAAATTCCTGCAGGGCTTTAGCCACTGGAAAGGGAGAGAAAAACAGAATAAAGAACCTCCTAAAGCAGAGAGCAGAGGCCAATTGCAGCTACAGAACTTAACATGACAGCAGTGTCATGACTCACATTTCTCCTTCTTCCTCTCCTCACGGGTCTGAAACCAGCTCCGCTCCAAACTCTCACTCCCAGTCTCTTTTTTTCCTGTCTCCAGCTGCTTCTTTGCCTTATTGATCTAATTTGGGAAAGAAGTGAGCTCAAGGTGGATAAAAAAATACTTTTCTCCTTCCCTCCTAAAGTAGGCAGGTTAAGTACACTTAGGGTAACCTCATTCTGGACTATATTTACACTAGATCCTAACCTAAAAAAAAAAATTTATTAAAAAAAAATGCTTACCTGGGCTTCTGACTGCTGCATCTCACGTTCCTCACGCTCCAAGCACAGAACTGCATAGATATCTTTCTCTAGATTCTCAATCTTCTCTCGAAATTTTAGTATGACATCTGAAAGCAATACCGTGTGAACATCAGAGGCAGCTCACGTCAAGTCCCTCTTGTTTTTCAGCACCTCTTTCAGTGTCCCCCTGGACCATGATATTCCCTGGGCACTGCCCTCCTGCTTTTTACCTCGGTGAGGTGTGTACCTTGGGGGAGAATTCTGGCCTTCACTGGAGTTTTAGCAGTCTTGACAATATCCTTCAGCATCTTGCGCTCCTCCTCACCCACAAGTGAGACTGAACGCCCAGCCTTGCCCGCTCTGGCTGTGCGACCCACACGATGGACGTAGTGCTTGGTGGTGTTGGGCATGGTAAAATTGATAACCTGCAACGGAAACCGTGTTAGCAGGGAAACAGCATTAAAGGAAACGTCATTAAAAACCTCAGCACTGCAAATACTCACTGTTTTAACACCTTCGATATCAAGTCCACGTGCAGCCACATCTGTAGCTACCAGGATGTCAATCTGCTCGTCCTTAAAGCGCCTGAGCAGGGAAAGCAAATGCGTTAGCCATGCAAGCAGCAATCTGCTTCTGCCCTAAAACTTCCAACTTTGATCTTCTTTTTAGCCTAGGATTGTCAGCTAAGCCTGCTAATGAATACCTGAGTGATTCCAGCCGCTGTGCCTGGGAGAGGTTCCCGTGCAGCTCCCCAACCCGCAGCCCCATCAGTCCCAGCAGGATGTGCATTCGGTGGGCCTGCTTCTTGGTCTGGGTGAACAGCATCACGTGATCCCGGAACGTTCGTGTCAGGAGAGCTGAAAGAAAGTCCCCTCAGGATCCTGCTCTGTGGTCACTCAGTGATTCCAGCCTGTCTCTGCCCATCACTGACCTGTTACAATGGCCTCACGGTCCCCCTCTCGGTTGGGTCTGATCCGGATAAATTCCTGCCGCAGGAAAGGCGCGACATCCGTGTTGCTGTTCACGAAAATTCGGACGGGATTTTTCAGGGAAACAGAAGCCAAATCCTTCACCTACAAAAACAGGTTAAAAAGTCCACGTGACTTCTGGTAAAAGACCAGACAAACTTCCATTCACCTTCCTGCCTCAGTACGCTTCTCTGCAGCTTCTCTTACCTCCTCTGTCATTGTGGCAGAGAAAAGCATTGTCTGACGGTGGTGGGAGCACAACTTGATTATTTCCTTCATCTGTTCCTCAAAGTACTCATCCAGCATCCTACACAGGAGAAAAGCAGCAAGGTAAGGCAGCTTCACTGGTCGTAGCTAAGAAATGTTACTTAAGGCAGGGTAACAAAGACAGCCCTACAGCCTGGGAAAAGGGAAGGGGAAAAGTACCATGTTTTTTCCCTGTTGTCCCTACCTGTCCGCTTCATCCAAAATCAGCACCTCAACACTGCTCAGGTGGAAAGAAGGGCAGTTGTGGAGATGATCGATCAGTCGCCCGGGAGTGGCGATAAGAATGTCTGGCCCAGAGCGCAGAGCTGCTTCCTGAGTCTTCACATCCAGGCCACCTGAAAGACAGTGAACACAGACTGCTGACACCCCCAGCAGCTGCAGCAGAGTACAGGGATGCAAATGGACTGAGGAATGGGAAACAACTCAGATTAAACCACATGCACACACAGAAGTGACCCCACGTTTTCTTTCTCAGAAACCAACAAACAAGTACAGCACAATACTGGAAAGTGAGATGTGAAACCACAGCGTATCTACTAGAAGCATAATAACTGTACAGCCTCCAGTTTCACAACACAGGATTCCCAGTTCCCTATAGTGGTTTACAGCGAGATGTACAGTTCACATAACTTAATACTCACCTACTGCGAGGCAAGTTGTGACACTGCTGAACTGTGCCAGCTGTTTTGTGACAGAGTGCACCTGAATACCCAGTTCTCGTGTTGGCACAAGAACCAATACCCGTGTTATTGGAGCCTGACGGGGTTTGTAAATCAGGCGCTCAAGGACAGGCAAGATGAAGGCAGCTGTTTTACCTACAGAAAAAAAATGAAAAATAATTATCAACTCTTGTGAACAGCCGATTCTCCACGGTTCTGGTGCCCTGCTCAAGCCCTTACCTGTCCCAGTGGCAGCACAGGCACAAATATCCTTTCCCAGAAGACCCACTGGGATACAAGCCTTCTGAATCGGAGTTGGTTGCTTGAAACCAAGAGCTGTGATTGCCTACAAAGGAGACAGAGCAATTAAACTCTGTCTCTGGTATAGCCACACTTGGAGTACTGTGTCCAACCCTGGGCTCCAAGAATTACTTTTCCCCTGCGAGGATCACCAAGCCCTGGCACAGGGTGCCCAGAGAGGTTGTGGAGTCTTCACCCTTGGAGAAATTCAAAGCCACCTGGACACGTTCCTGGGCAGCAGCTCTGGGTGGCCCTGCTTGAGCAGGGGCTTGGACAAGATGACCTCAGAGGTCCCTTCCAACTTCAACCATTCTGTGACAAGTCTAGCTCAAGACAGTGTTGACACATTGCAAATCAAATAATAGTTTCCATTCATTTGTAACAACAGCTCCTAAAGGACTATCACACTAGCTCCCACGTAATTTCCTTCTCAGAGTGGTTGCAAGGAGAAGAGGAATTTGAAAGTTCTAATTAGTGGAGGGAAGGCTGTACAACTTTCTTTAGGGTAATGTATATAACAAACAAATTAGGTAAATACCTTTAGCAAAGGTCGTGAAAGATTCATGTCCTGGAATGACAAGTTATCATCGTATTGAGAGGCATCTTCAAAAAACGTCTCTGCTTCCTAGAAACAGGAACAACAACAAAACTGAAACAACACAGGCAGCAACACAGCAAGATATCAAAGGGCTCTGGGATGTTTTCTTAGCTACAGTTCGTTAACCAAAGCAAATTCCTCCACAAGAAACGCTGGAGGAATTTTACTACTGTCCCACACTTACCACTTGTCCCTTTTTTGATTTCCTCCGCTCCTTCACTTTGACCTTATCTGCAGAGGAAATGAGCAGAGATTAACAAGCACACCCAAACAAGATACTGTGACTACCTTAACCTCATACTTTTTGCTCTGAGCCATTGAGGGAGAAGCCTCAGAAACAAGTAGAGATGTGCAATGGAGTAAAAATGCTGAGTAAATTACTCTTCCTAAGGGACGAGTTCAATTAAAGTACTATGGCTACCATTCAAAATAAGCGTGATTAAAATCTGAAGGAATGTTGCAGAAGGAAGACAACAAAATATAAAAGGTTCTTGCCCACTCCCAGCAAGGCTTCACTACAGACTTTTCTCCAGTGAGCCAACAGTCTGTCAGATTCTTGCTCCTGATCATCGCCCTGTGTACTGCTAGTACCTGCTTTTGTGAAGATACTTTCATCATCCAGTGAATACTCAGACTCCACATCTTCGTCATCCCTACTAAAATCCTCACATTCCTTCTTTGTGGTTTGATTATCCTCAGCCTCCGCATCTTCATCTCTCACTTTAGCTTGTTTAGCTTCCCTTTCCTAAAAAAAGATTTAAAAAAAGAAAAGCTTAAAAAATAAAGGATATAAAAAGGAACTTCGATTCTTCGTGAGCTTGCATTGGTTGTTACAATGAATCAGGGAATCAGGGAATAATTTAGGTTGGAAATGACCTCTGAGATCATTGAGTTCATCCTACAACTGAACACCAAAACGGCAACTAGATCACAGCACTAAGTGCCATGTTTTCTTAAACACTTCCAGGGATGGTGACTTGTTATTACGAGCCCATTCAGAGATCCATGGTTTTGCCTAACTTTACCGTTAATAATTCTGCATCTTTATCAGTTCAGCAACACATCACGTGTGGCTGCAAACCTAGCCAAGGTGATGAGCAGCACCTCGAGCAGCTGTGCCTCAGGATGCTTTTGGACGGCCAAACACATACCAGCCTTCTCAGCAACGAGAAAGACCCTGACCTGGAGCTTCCTTTTCTGTCTCACTTTCTCGATCTTCTCATCCAGCGTCGTAGCTGCTCTCTAGGCAGAAAAATCACGGAGAGGAGCTGTAAGAGGAGCCCGGGAGAGCACACCGGGCGCGGTGGCCCCCGGCACTGCCGGTGCCCCGGCCCCGCACCGAGCTCCGTCCCGGCCCCACGGCGCTCACCTTGCCGCGGAGCTGCCGCAGCGCCGCCGCCCAGGCGTCCTCCCCGCCGGCCTCCGCCTCGCCGAACACGAACGCGGCGCTGAAGTCGCCGCTCCTGTGGCCCCGCCGCCTGGGGCCCGGCGCCCGGCACGGCTCCTGCGGGGACACCCGTGAGCCACGGGCCGGCCCCGACCGCGCCCGCCCGAGCCCCGAGCCCGCCCGGCCCCACCTGCTCATCCTCGGAGTCGTCGGACTCGGGCTCCTCGGGCCCCGCGTCCCCCTCGGCGATGGTGCCCACCAGGCCCAGGCTCTGCAGCGTGGCCATGGCCGAGCCCCCGGGACACGCGTGCGCGGGGCCGGGCCGGGCCGGGAGCGGGGCCGGGCTTGAGGGCCGGGGCCGGGCTTAGGGCGGGAGGGCAGAGCCGGGAAAGGAAAACGAAAGCGGCGGCGCTGGGCGCGGCCGGGGAGAGGCAGTGGGGTGCGGGCTGCCTTTCCCTTCTCCTTTCCTCCCCTTTCCCCTCCCCTTGCCGCGGGAGGGAGGGAGGGAGGGAGGGAGGGAGAGGGGCCGGGAGCGGGCGGGGGCTGCGGGGCGGGACTTGCGGGGAACTGGAAAAGTGAAACTTCGCGGGGAGCGGGGAAGGGAAGCTCGGCGGGGCGTGCGGGGAGCGCAGCGCGGCTCTGCCCGTGTGTGCGGGGGGCAGCAGCGCCCTGGCCCCACCGCCCTGGGCCCGGAGAGCTGGAGCGGAGCCCCGAGGAGCGATGGAGGGTCCCGGGCAGGAGCCTGGCGCTGGGCGGCCCCGAGCTGGGCCGACAGGTGAGGGTCACTCCGGGCAGGAAGGAGGGGTGGTGCTGGTACAGGGGGACCGCTGCTCCTCACCCTGCCTTCGGCGAACTCTTTTCTGATTTTCTAAATGCTAAATTTCAGCATTTCCTTGTTCGCCCGTGGAGCCCGTTTGAAGAAGCGGTGTGGTGATGTGTTGCAGCAACCTCTCGCTAATTGTTTCTGTTACGATTCGGTGCTTCCCCGAGCATTCTTTGGGGAGCCTGACGAAGGATCTATGGGCTGTGCCTCCCACTGCTCCCAGAAGCTGGACTTTGTTTGGAAGCTTCCATGTTTTAAATGTACCATATAGAGTCAGTTCAAGTCAGCTGCCTCTGTCATTATTTCAGTGATGACTAACTCCCGAGGAAATGCTGTCCTATGCAGGAATCTTTATCTTTGGCTTTTCTTAATTCTGCTTTCAGTTCTCTGGCAGCGGTTTCACTTCTTAGTCTCTTCACAGTTCGAGCGAACTCTATGCATGGCACTGTCTTTAGCAGTTAGAGAAAGGGGTACAAAGGAGACAACAATTTAAAAGTCTGTGTGCAAATATAATGGTAGCTTTTTAACTTGATGTTACATGTTGAAAGTATGCTGACTGTCAGGTCAATATGCTCATGCATCTGTGTTGGGAGGCAGGTTAATGTGTTTGATTGATAATTAAGCAGTGATTCTTTTTTTCTTCTTTTTTTAAGGGCGTACATTTCATCACAACTCTGGCTTTACAGAAAGAGGCAGACACAGAACAAATAATGTACCAGACCAGACAGCTCAGTTAAGGGAAAGCTCCCAAGACAGTCATTATAATCCTCTACTTGGGCAAAGAGAGGAGAGATTGAGGGTTCCTCAATCAAACAAGCATAAACTAAGAATCCAAAGTGAACAGGCCAACAGTGGAGCCATGGGATTCAGGACTAAACAAGAGAATGAGGGAAGGAGAATGAGATGTCAAGGTGGGCAAACACATGAGAGGGCCATAGGACCCTGGAATGAGCAAAAAGGTGGATTTAGAGGAAAGAGTTACCAACTTGGACAAACACATGAGGGGACAAGAGGACCCTGGAATGAGCAAGAAAATCATGGCGGGGGAAGGAGGTATCAAGACGGACAAGCACATGAGAGGGCCAGGGGACCTCGGAATGAGCAAGAAAATGAAGGCAGGGGAAGGAGGTATCAAGGTGGACAAGCTCAGGAAGGAGCTAGAGGGCTGATGAATGAATGGGAAAATGAAGGGAGCAAAAGGAGGATGCAACCTCGTGAGAATCCTCATTTTTCCCAGCACGCTACCCCACGTGGTGCCCAACTCCGTGAGCAGCCTCGGCAAGCCAAAAGGATTGGCTATAAGTTCCTGGAAAGTCTCCTTGAGAAAGACCCCTCAGAAGTTGTCATCACGCTTGCTTCCCATTCGGGTTTGAAGGAACTTCTCTCCCAAACAGCTATGAAACCCGGCTTCCTTCAGCTCATTTGCCAGGTGCTTCGAAAAGCGTGCAGTTCCCGAATGGATAGGCAGAGTATCCAACAGCTTCTTGGAGTGGTGAAGGAGTCCAACTTTCTCAGGATCTGTCTGCCACAGTATGTGTCTGACATGGTAACAGAAGTAGTTCCTGCTGTACGGCAAGAGTACCCAGTGCATATTAGCAACATCATTTCACTTCTTCAGGACCTGATCAGCACCTTCCCAGCCAGCTCTGTGCAGAAAGTCTCCATTCTCTTGACAATCTTGCCAGCATCCATAAACACCCTGAGAGCTTCTGGTGTGGACATCACAGAAGAGACAGAGAAGAACCTCAATAAAGTCCAGATGCTCATGCAGCATCTGCAGGAGAAGAAACGTGAAGGCACACTGAGGGCTGATAACTGTACATTTATGCAGCCTCAGATTGATGGTCAAGAAGAAAACTATCGTACCATAGCCATTTATCCAACACATAATGAGGTACACGGTCGTGAGAAACCCTTTCTACGTCCCAATATTGTTTCTGGAAGATACGAGAGCACCGGCACTTATCTCGACACCCATTTTCGGCTTTTGAGAGAAGACTTTGTGAGGCCTTTAAGGGAAGGTATCCTGGAGCTTTTGCGGAGCTTCGAGGACAGAGGTTTGAGACAGAAGAAATTTGACGATATCAGGATCTATTTAGACACGCATATTATTGCCCCGCGTTGCGCCTCGACTGGCATCGTGTACAAGGTCCAGTTTGACATAAAACCATTGAAGTTTGTCCAGTGGCGGAATTCTAAACGATTGCTCTACGGCTCGCTGGTCTGCATGTCCAAAGACCGCTTCGAAACCTTCCTTTTCGCTACTGTTTCCAACCGCGATGCCGCAGAACTCGCCAACGGGGTTGTGGAGCTCTGTTTCGACGCGCAGAGCCAGGCGCTGCTGGCAGAGGTTCAGCCCTCGGACTCCTTCCTCATGGTGGAGACAACTGCCTACTTTGAGGCCTATCGGCACGTGTTAGAAGGGCTGCAGGAAATGCAGGAAGAAGATGTCCCATTCCAGAGGTACATCGTGGAGTGCGATGCGCAGGTGAAGGAACCGGCGTACCTGACCAAGGACACTGACTACAACTTGGCGCCCTTGGTGGAGACGTCGGATGAAGAGATGTGCCCTGATAGTTTGAGAAGCGTCCGCGTTCTGGATCCCAAGCAGTGGCTTTCGGTGGAAGCCTTGAGATTAGACGAGTCTCAGATGCAGGCATTGAATCTTGCGCTCACCAAGGAGCTGGCTATTATCCAAGGACCTCCTGGGACTGGTGAGAAATATTTGCTTAAAGTCTCTGTAATTTAAGACTTTATCCTTGATTCCCGCATATAGGGAGATTAACTTCAGAGAAAGCCATCTGCACTGTCTCCAAAGCTTTAGTCCTGTGCCTAATCAATATTTGAGTGGCCCAGTTAGTGTGAGTTGTGGAGACAGGTAATATCCTCAATACTTTATCTGATCTTGCTCATTGCCCACCATGCAAGTAGACCCCAATTGCACTGTTGTTCTGCTTGTGTAAGGGGGTGAAAAAATTGTCAGTCACCTTTGAGAACATGGTGCCTCTTGCTGTGCAGCTCTCTGTTTGTCTTCACAGCATGTTAGAGCATTGGGAGTGTTCAGCCATGAACCCATGTGTAAATAAAGTCCTACAAGATTAACTGTAATTCTTTAAAATGGTGCCTGAATTCGACAAGCACCAGTGCTGGCATTCCACTAGCATGTGGATGTTTCATGTGCAGCCAAGTGTCATGTATGAAGCCATTTTCAGAGTGGGCTGGGGGATGCAGTGGCAGAGAAGACCCCATGTCCAGATCTGGAGTATTATCCAAAAGACAACGTTCTTGCAGAGCATGGCATTGCTCAGCTACAGACAGAAGCTAGTTACTCCCACTCATTTCTCTTGGTACAGACCACATTGGCAGCCTAGAAGGCAGTCTTGTACCTATTTTTGATAATTTCTGTGCTTCAAGGGGTAGATTACCCTTTTCTGATTCTGAGCTTGCTTTGCAGGGAAGACTTACGTGGGTCTGAAGATTGTTCAGGCTCTTTTGACTAATGAGCAGGTGTGGCAAAGCACCGTCCAGAAGCGTCCCATCCTTATAGTCTGCTACACTAACCACGCACTGGATCAGTTCTTAGAAGGTAAGAGTACCTGCAAACAGGACAGAGGGTCAGGTAGAATCATAGAATGTTTTGGGTTGGAAGGGCCTTAAAGATCGTCTGGTTCCCATCCTCCTGCCGTGGGCAGTTCCATTAGACCGGGTTGCTCCAAGTTCTACCCATCCTGGCCTTGAACACCCACAGGGATGGGGCATCCACAGCTTCTCTGGGCAACCTCTTATTAGAACCTGTAATTGGAAATTATACTACAACTCTTAGTCTGCCCATCTTATGGCACGTTAACCTGCCCTTTTGGTTGGTTATTTTTTTGTGACCGTTGATTTTTTTTTTGTGTGACCTCATTGATATAAAGTAAAAAAAACACTCAGACCAATCCACTGTAGCATTTGCAGTCAAGGAGTGTTTATCTCTTTTCCTGCTGCAGAAAATAGAGCTTGTCCTTTTAGTACTAATGTATTTCTCGTTCATTCACAGGAATATACTCATTCCAAAAAAACGGGATAGTGCGTGTTGGGGGCAGGAGTAGCAGCGAGGTCTTGCAGCAGTTCACCTTGAAGGAGCTGAGGAAGCACTGCAACTTCAGACTCAACTTGCCAGGGCACCTCTGCAGAGCCTACGTGAACGTATGTGCAGGGCTCACTGGAGATGATGGGCTGGGTTGCAGTGGAGGAGAACACTAAACCTCCTGCACACCTGGGCCTTCACCTTGCGTTACGCTGAACTCGGCCTCTCAATTCTTCTGTCATTTCCCTGTCCTGCTGCTTCTGAACTTTGTTCCTCTGAGTGTGACCCTGCCTCCCTTCTCTTTCTCCCAATCAGATAATCGGTGAGATGGCAGAGACTGAGAAGGAGCTCCAGGCAGGAGCGAAGCAGCTGGAATGCACAACCTACGGAGTTCTGCATGAGCGCTTCCTGGAGGCCTACATT